GGTGAACTTCAGGGGGAAAGCGCAGCTTGTAACGACGCCAAAAGGCACTCTTCAAATCCCGAAGTTCGGAGTCGCCCAACAATGCATCTAGATCAGATGCCGAGATGCGAGACCGATCTTGTTCGGATTGTTTGAAGTAGAGCGATACGGCGGCCCACGCCCGACGAACCCTCGCCCCCCTGAAGACCGGCATCCTCGCCCAGGGAGAGTTTGGACAACCAGGGTTGGACCTTGTCCTCACTCTCGAAAAAGAAGCGAAACTCCTCCAGGTTCTGGAGCCGGGCTTTGACCAAGGCATCGGTCACGGCTTCAGCTATGCTGAAGTTAATCCCCAACTGGCGGAAAGTAGCCGCAGCATCCGCACCGTCACTCGGCACGAGTTGCAAGCTAGACGCCATGTGGGGACACAGGGACCCTCCCTACGGAAAGTGAGGACCCACCTCACAAAGTGGTACCACGAGGACCCACCTCGCCTCTGTCGGCCAAAAGGAGCTGGCGAGGCGGAGATCCTAGGTGCACATGAACGAAATAAAACTCAAATCATGGACGCTGCGTCGCCGTTACGCTCTAGTGTCAAAGGCCTGGAACCTCCGGGCCACACAGCACTCCTGCTGACTCGGGGATGACCCCCCCCAAATGACAAACTGCACAGCAGAAGAGTCACTGACACTCAGGTTTCTTCCCGCTGGTGGCGCGCTCTCCGGTCGCCTCGGTAGTCTACACGTGACGTAGTCTACAAAAAGGGGCATCTACGGAGGCCGCCTGCTCTTATGGGGCGCAACCGTCCGGCGATCACTAGGCTGGACGGCTGCTCAGCAGCTCAGTGTCGCGCTTGCCAGGACGCTGGGGCTTTGCTCCAGCAAGATCCGCACACCGGACGGGCAAACGTACTTGCTTCCATGAAGCTGCTGCAGAAGTGGGCGTCTTTGAGCCGTTGCTGAACTCGAGCTTCGCCTTGCTTGAAGTGGCACAGAGCGATGCGGCCCTCCGTGCACAGGTGGATGTTGGAACGTTCAGAAGCAAGATATCCAGCAGGCTTTGGGTGTACGGGTGGCAACGACAGAGTGCGCCTCGTCGTATAAAGCCACTGTGCCGCCGTGCGATCCCTGCAGAACTTGTGGAACTCCACACAAGGCCGCATCTTGGTGATCTTCTCGGCTGCTTCATCCACGGAGGTGCCCATCATGAGCGCATAGATGAGGGCTGTGCAGGCAGGGGCCCGATGCTTGCCCGCCATACAATGCACAAGCACTGAATCACCACAATGAAGGCTCTGGAGGATGAGAGGCCACGCCGCTTTGAACTCCTGATCCATGCGCTTGCTGCCCATCTGCACCTTCATGACGCATGCCTCCGGCAACGACACGCCCCCCCGACCCTCGGGGTATTGTGGTAGACAAGCGATCTGGAGGTGGGCCTTCGGGAAATGTTGCACTGTCTCAGCGATCGGAATACCGGAGAGCCACAGCTGGCCACCTGACCGAGTCGTCATGATCAGGGTTGGGGCGAGAGTGTCACGCCCTTCTGAGGTGGCCAACCGGTCCCAGTGAGATTGCTGAGGTCCTGGCGACACTGCTGGAATAGGCAGGGTGCTCGGTGCTGGGTCTGAAGACTGTCGCCAAGGAGGCGTTCTGGCCAGCGGTGGAGGCGATGGATCCCGCGGACCTCGCGGCTTCTTCTTGGCCGACGTTGCAATCAACTTGGGCGGAACCGCCTTGGATGGAGGTGCCTTCGGAGGCGTCTTGGGCCTTGGAGAGAGGGCCTCTGCTGCATCGGGCCGAGCACTTGGCTGGGGCGATTCCGCTCGCCGGCGTTTGGCTCTCGAGGAGGGTTTGGCCTTTGAGGACGTAGTAGAAGAAGCTGATGCCGCCGCCGCACGAACTGGGACTGGCGTCTCGGCCGGCAAGTACTTCTTTTCGGTGCAAATAAATGCACCGTGGCTCCCGCCACAAGCCCGCCCCCGGGCCAAAAGAACAGCGCAGAGGTGAGCGTTCCCGCAAACCTCCTCTCCTTCTGCGCACCCCTCGGGCATCTGGAAAGCCCCGCAAAGGCGACGCCCATTCTTCAAGAAAGCCGTCAGCACGCGGCCTCGGATGGCATCCGGCATGGATACCGTCTGGCGCGAGGTGCTTCCTCGGATTTTGTTTGCCGCTGCCTTAGCGACTCGGGCCCTGGAGAATTGGAGGTGCGTCTTCAGCGACTCCTTGGTTGGCTGAGCCGCGTACCTCGTCTCCTTGTCCTTCGCGATGGCCATGGCAAGCGCGTCTTTGGCCACTTCGCGGAAACCATCCAAATCGGCAGGAAGCACCTCCTCCCAAAAGCTGTGGCCCTCACAGCTATGGGCCACTGACGTGGCCAGGATCTTGTTGCGAAGGGACTGGGCATACCGAGCTGACAAATAGTGCAATGCCATCCCTGCTTCAGCCGGCTCTTTGGATTTGTCCTGCCAATCGCCGAGGGAGCAAAGATCAGACGACGACAAATTCAGAATATGGCCCACTGTGGGAAGCATTCGTCGCCAAGAGTAGGTGGTCAACTGCTCTGTATTGTCCAGGAACTCGGCAAAGATCGACTGGCATAGGTGCTGAACCTCAGCGATGTTCCAAGGCGTCCCACGCCCGTCAAAGCAGATCCCTGCACTCTTCTGGGCCACCGGAGAGAGGGCCTTCCAGGCTTTGAGCCACTCCACAGTCCAGTTGAAGGTGGAGGCAAACTCGGCTGGAGCACACCAATCAAAGCCGCCACGAGCATGACGCTGCTTGCCTTTGCGACAGTGGCCGTGGAACACGAGTGGGCTGATGCGACGAACGGTTGAGCGGCGAAGATGCTGGTATCGCAAGCAACCTGTAGCCACCAGCCAAGAGCCGAGAAGACATGTCCAACGCGGGTCCCCCCCACGGCACATGCTCTCAATGCGCTCTTCCAACAGCTGCAGCGTGCCCGGCTCCACAACAAGGGCTTGGCTCTTCGTAGAAGTGGCCTTCTTCTGCAGCTCCGGAGAGATACGAAGCCGGGCCACTTCCCAAGGAGCTCCAGAATGCTTGCACAGCCAGAAGCGCATTGAGCGCGCGGGTAGGGGCCATCGTCCCCTGATGCAGGAAGTTGTCCATGTCCACAAAGTCCGGAGGGAACGACCTCCCGCGGTGGAGCAAAAAGGCGTGGAGCTCCCCATAGGTGCGGAGAGCATTCTGAATCGTCACCGACTCAGACTCCGCCACTTTGGTCTGGGCCAAGCGAAGGACGGAGGCCTGCCAATCCCGCTTCAGGGCCTCAGTCAATAGGCCAACCGGCTTCAACGCCCCCACCGTCAGGAACACCTTCTGCAGGGCCAACACTTGGCGCTGTATGGACTCGGGCTGATCCTGCACCCGCTCATGAAGGCGTACCCCCGCCTCAAGTGGAACTTCCTTCCGCTTGCGAACCAGTGGAGGACGTGTATCCGGCAGCAGGGGACCCCCCTCAAGCAAGCGAGCCGCCGCCGGGAGCAGCTCATCCTGCTGGGCAACCCGGACTGCGAGCCAAGCGTCCGCCAAGAAATGGCCTCCCACGGCCACAGCTTCCTCCCAGGTAGAGAAGGCAAAGGCGAAGTCCTCATCTTTCTCATAGCCCCGTTCCCGGCGCCATGTGATGGCACGGGCCCCTGCCACCCTAGCAAGGCTGTCTTCGGCTCGCCAACCAGAGGACGAAGCCGGTTCGGCCGGCGGAGCGTCCACTGCTCCAGCGACTTGTGCACGGTACACCATGGCTTGCGCACCCGCTGAACTACCCACTATCGTCATCAGACGACGAAAGTTCGCGGCAGGCCGGACAGATTTGGAGCACTGGGAAACAGGCGGAACACACTCCTTTGATACAACCAAGGCACTGCCGATAAGTGGGATCACCACAGCCGCAACACGCTGGAGGAAACTCCGACTCTCCGTTGATTGAGGACCCCAACCATCCACGAAGGGCTCGATGGGCACGAATCTTCGGGTGAAGAGCTTCCAGGTGGCGCGGCAAATGCTCAAGATCTGGCAGTGGGGCACGAAAGGGGTTGGACCACAACCCATGTGGTGATCCCATGATCCAGTGTCGCATATAATAGAGAACTTCAGATTGAAATGTTTGCAGGGGCAAGAGGTCAAAATCCCCAGGAACCTTCTGCTGGAACTCCCACAGGTAGGAGGGCACAAAATTTTCGGCAGAGTACGGGGTACGGTAGGGCTGCAACAAGAGGAGGTCCATGTTGGCGTCCAACCGAGCATGCCTATCCCAGGCCTGCTGAGGAGTGAACCCGGATGGCACGATCGTCCCGCGCCGGTTCCAAATCCCGACCCACGGGAAAACATAGCCCCCTCGCCCCTGATCGCACCGTGGGCAGGCACTCTTAGGACACACTGAGATCCGCATAGGGGGGAAACCATCTGGCCCGTCCCCCGGGCGTGAAGACGGAGGCATGTGCTCGAAGAGAACCACCGAGCTCCAAAGCCGCATCGCGCCTGCCCGGTCCCCCCGGGCCAAAAGGGCATCGACCTGGCGACGGAACTCGATGAACGCGGCGGACGAAAGCACCGACGATAGGCTGTGAAGTCATCCACAGCACACACCGCAAAAAATTAGCAGAACAGAAACTCCACTGTCCCACTTTTGGCTTGAGCCAAAATGGACAGTGTAACAAATGTAATGAAGACTGTGCACCCAAACCTGCCCAAAGCTCGACACAGTTTTATAGTTGCACAAATAACATGTGCCCCTTAATTGAATATGTTTGAATCCCACCACGTGTACAGAACACCGGCTTTGTCCAAACACGAAATTAATTGTGTCTTTCGTTTAGACAAATTAATCAATTTAATGTGCTTCAGGGGAAACTTGTTTATGTCAAACCCAACATAAGCTATTTGTCGACAGGAATCTTGATGCCTGCAAAACAAGTCTTTCAAGAATCACATCCAGCTTGAGTGACGGCATCCAGAAGTTTTGTGTTGACGGACATTTCCTGGGTTTTGTTTTGGGGCTTAGCCCAACTCTGCCACCATGCGACGTGGGGGATGGAAAGGGCGCCCGCATCGACAGCCAAAGCCATAAAGCCCCGGTGCCTCTTTCCACCAGGCTTTTAAGTCCTTCTCCAAACACTCCTCGTGCTTTCACGGGTTGTCTTGCACAACACACAACATGAGGGTGAGGGAGAAGCAAATCTATATTGCTTGTTCTTTGCTTCAACTAGCAATGACCTCCAACCGACTAGCGATGGCCTCCAACCTAAGAGAATCAATGGCGTCTCCAACCAAACAGAAACCGGAACCGAGGCTCCTCCAAAGACAGCTGCAAGAAGCGAACGCTGCATGTTTTGAAGTCATAGAACACATGGGAGGCAGACGACTTGGTGCGATGAACCACTCCCACCGGGTTTGAGGTTCGATGTGCTGATGTGCCGCGTTTGCGGGTCAGACTGAGAAAGCTTCGTCCAGATCTACAAGCATTTTTGGTGTGGGGTGGAGGCCATCGCTTCTAGGTTGGAGGCCATTGCTATTAGAAACAGAGAACAAATACTATAGTTTGCTATTAGTTTGATCAAAACAACACAGGCTTCTCAAGCAACTCCTGGCACTACAGTCTTTTTTTTCTTTCGTGATCAGAAAGTTCAACCAAACGGAAATGGATTCACCAGACCTTCAATTGCCTCCAAACAACCAACCATACAACCCTTCAAGCATTTCATTCAAGCAAAGGTGCTTCCCCTGGTTCCTTGGCCACAGTAACGCCTGACTTATGCACTTTCTGCAGAACTCGCCGTCGCCACGCTCCAGTGCGAGAGCCCGAAGCGCTTGAAGCGCCGCTCGCTTCACACCACACCTCGAGGGGTATCCCTGGACGTGCCATGGACACAGTCTTGGGCGTCAGAGGCTCCGAGGCGCACCGCCGCGCGAGGCTCACGTTGTGGACACGCGAGCCGACCTGGGCGAGGGCTCTGTGGAGGCGGAGTACTACCTGGAAACCCAGTCCCAACATGTCCCAACCAGAGAAATGGATGTTTCCCCAAACCTAGAAGCCATGGCCTCCAACCTAAGAGCGATGGCCTCCATCCTAGAAGCGATGGCCTCATGCTAGAACCGAGAGAATGCAATGGATGTTTCCCCACTCCAAGCCATTTCCTATGTAAAGGAATCAAATTTTGAAACGGAAGTGCTTCACCCGGTAAGACAGCAAGAATTCCGACTCTTGATGAACCACACCATATAACACAATGCCGAGGTTGTTCAATCCATGTCTGGAAGGGTTGAGGTGATGAGATCGATGCGCTGACGACTCGGGACGACTCGGCTCCTCTGGGCCTTGTTGACTCGGACGATCCGAATTGCCGTTGCTTGCGGGGCCCATGCGGGGCCCATGCGGGGGCTAAACGGGTGACAACTTGCATCCATCTGGGACCTGCTGGAATGGTGGACATTGACCAACCAATGACATGGACTTACAATCCCGTGCGATAAGTTCCTTCCCATTTTGGAGCTTCACGATGTGTTGGATTTGTCACGTCCAAGTGACTCCCTTCATGGCCTCGTAGGCTCGCAGCAGCTGTCGATGAGGAGTGCCACCATTGAAATGCTTCACCACGGGGTCAAGAATCTTTGACATGTATCGAACGTCACTCACAAACTCCAAGATCATCTGCCAAATCGCCTTGTAAATGAAGTTTTGCGGGAGCTCTAAACATATCTACAAACACATATGGACAAACGTGGCTTATAAGAAGAGATATTTTCAGACAAGTTCCTGATTCACGACCCTGATTTCTTCAAACGATTTCCCACTTAGAATCCTGGGTCCATTCAGACAAAAAACAACAACAACGCATACACAAACACCATGTGTGTTATGTGTGTCTGTGTGTCTCCAAGTGAAACACCAGCGGCCGTTGGAATGCGACGTCCACTCTTGCGCTTCATCAGTAAAAAGATCTGCAGGGAACTGGGAGGCGTGCAAACGGCCTCCACCAGCTGCTGCCCGCATTGGGCCACCACATCCTGGGCGTTCGACGGCCGCGATTTGAGCTCTTTTCCTCTCGCGTTGCAATGATTTCAGCTTCAGCCCTCTATGGATGCGGACAAAGCACCTTCGATTGGCAGATTTGAGAGAGTTGTCCAACACTTAGACTTAGTATCGGAGTGGATTTCACACCTCCCCCGAGGGTTTTTCACCATGTTGAATCCCGAGGAACAAGAGGACGCTCCTGGCCTTACTACGTAGCGAACGGAGCGATCGGAGGCCACGAACGGGGGCTCCGGGCATCGCGGAGCGAACGGGCGGGCGACGTACATCAGCTGGGGCCCCGAGAACCGCTCGGCGTCGCGGGTCACATCCGACCTCCCTCCCCGGCGCGGACGGACTTCACGGGTGCACCGACCGGCGAGGCTCCAGGTCCAAGCGATGCAAACGCAGCCGCGCGAGCCACTGGCTTCGACCCACCAAGAAGCTGCCGCTCAAGCGTTCCATGCGTGTGGCTCGTTCGCAGTCCTAAGGAGTTGCCATGGCACCAGACGTCGGCGGGCGACCGTGATGTACGGATCGTGTTGTTTCGGAAAAGGATGGTACTCCGGAGGTACTCCTTGTGAATAGGTCCAGCATTTCTTGGAACCCATAAGACAAACCGTGTGACACAGGTAGAGTGTTTGTCCTGATTTCTCTGCGTCCGATTTGTACCAGCGGCATCGAAATTGGTGGAGTGGCCCAGATTTCACCACACCGTCCTCATCCGAGTGGCCTCTAAGGTCCTGGCAACTGCAGGGCCATCGGAGAGCTCTTGGACCGGTGTCTCTAACAGCACCCCCTTCTGGCTGAGCTTTGCCTTGGCGCCGCCACACAGAGAGCACAAAAAGGATCCACTTTCTGATCGTACACCTGTTTTCATACCTTTTCAGATTGTTTCCATCGTTTGATCCCACCCGCCACTTGAAGCAAGGACACTCCTAGTAGCTGGCCGCTCCTCCTACGGACGGAGCCTTCTTCACGCTAGTTGTCACAAAGGGCCTCGCCGCGTAGCGAACCGAAAAAAAAAGGGCATCGCTGAGCGAACGAGACATCGAAAGATCTCGGATGCTGGTTTTGCTCCACTTTCGACCACGGCCGAGCTCTTCGATCAGTCCAAGTCTCCAGAAGCTGTCGGACGACCTCCACAAGTCCAGACTTCTCCATGGCCTTCTGCCTCCAGCGGCGTGCCTGTACTTCCACTGCTACTGACAGCAGCAGAAAGACCAGCACCAGAAATCCGGCACCTGAGGTGACACGGCTGATATAATTAGGGTGCAAATCGTCAAGGCTCTGAGCAGTCGGCTTGGGCTTGGGTGATAGGACGTCCCGGTACTGAAAAACATGGAGGAACATCATAGAATGTGTGGTCCAACGATATCTTTGTGCCAATTGTGCCTGCTGCGTATGCGCCTTCGGGATAGGTCCGACGATCCGTCCGTGATCAATCAGTGAAAACAGCAAGTGGATGATGTTGTGCAGTTCATAAAGAAGTCTCATGGGAAAGCACACTCAACTTGATGCGTATTGAAGAGGAGAGCCAGCCGCCGAAAACCGTTTTGAGCTGGTGTCCTGAAATGCCACATCAACAAAAGTGGCATTCAATGTCATTGATGGCCGCGTTTTGCCACAAGAATGCCCCCCCACCTGCTACAAATAGCTTTATTGATAACATTTGATGACTCAGCGCTGTGGCAGCTGTCTTTGAAAGGACATTTTGAGGAGGAACACGTCTATTCTTTAGTAGCAAGGACGCTACTAGGGGTTCTCGGCCTTACTACTAGGAACAAGAAGCTACTAGGAACAAAGGTCCCAAAGAAACCAACCCATGTCACGGCAAACTACTCCGCCGATTCAAAGCCCCCAACGCGAAGCCAAGCCCAGCGCGGATCGTGCGCCTTCCCAAAGCATCTGCTGTGAGATGTTCCAAAGCTGTGCCCAGCTGAAGAAGGACACCACCAAGGCCAAGCCCAATTGAAATGGAAACAACCAAAGGGGTCCACCGATCTCTCCACCTAGGTTGGAGGCCATGGCTCTTTGGTTGGAGGCCATGGCTCTTAGGTGGGAGGCCAAGGGTTCCACCGATCTCTCCACCTAGGTGAGTTGGATTTTCTCTACGAATTGACGGAGCTGGTTGTGCCGATCGGGGCCAGTCAAAACGCACGTGGAAGACGTCGAGGGGCTCGTGTCTTTTCTGAGGCCCGGCTGGAAGACACGAGGAGAGAGAGGCCCAAAACGATGTAAAAACGATTTGGTTTTGGCCCGGCTGGAACCAACTTCAGCGGGTTTTCCTTCCGAGTGTCCAAGCACTCGATAGGCCAGGATCCATCCGGGGATCAACAACGAGCTGATGCATGCGACCATGGGCGGCCCATTCAGCAGCTGGTACACGAAGATCACCTCAGCGGGTAAAGAACTGATGGAGTCATCCGACTGAGCGCGCCGTCCAAACCAGCTTGAGATGAAAGCCCATGGAGTCAGAAAACATGTCCGACAGTTCACCTTCTTGGTCTATATCAGGATGACACATAAAGAACATCAAAACATTAAAACATATTAAAACTATTCAGTCCTGGATCGAAATGCGGATGCTTCTTTCAAGCTTTATGAGCCCCAAAAGAGCCGCCAATACCACTTTCGGTTGCAAGACGTTTCTCAGCTTCCCAATCGAGGCCAACACGACCGACATGAAATCAACATGACACATCATATGCTACTTCCATGCAGTGCTCCCTTTGGCGCCCTCAACTATCCCTCTACTTAAAACCCCGCGTGTGCGCCGCAACTAACGCGGGTGCGCCTGGGTGAAGATGGATCCTGCCAAGAAGGCGGCGGGCTGCACGAGATCCAAGTTCACCGTGTCCGGCAAATGGCGTTGTGAAAGTAAGTCTAAACCTCGGACTTTCACAGATTTTCGCACACATGTCCTGAACATCTCATGGAATTGGATGGTGACATGGTGATAACTCATGGAGTTGGATCTTCCAAGTCGAATGTAGACTCTTGAGACTCGTAAGCCCTCCCAATTGAAGTGGACATCCTCTTCATATAGGGGGGTTGATGGTCCTCAAGAGTCTTCATTAAGAGTGACAGTCAGTGACAGTCTCCGGGCCATGCTGTGGCTTGACCGGGCCCGGAGAGAACCGGTTGACCGGGCTTACGATCGGTCCGTTCGGCGACGGCTCGTGGGGAGCTGAAGACCCATCTGAGCTTTTTGGTGCTGAGCTTTTGTTGCTTCACCTTGAGCATCTGGATGCATCTTGGTGTACCCCTGCCTATTCGTCCACCCCGAACATTCGCCCAGGAGCCCAGGATGGTGGTGAAGGAGAGGAATCCCAGCAACAGGAGAGACACCGCACCACGTGATCCGTCTTGGGCGAGGAAAACCACAGCTGCTGGCAAGCAGGCTCGGCGCCTGAGAGTCTCGACGTTGGAAAGAGACAGGGTCTGGCCTCCAACTGCTACTCATAGCGTCCGAGATCTCGCTCCGTTCGTTGTGGCGGCCAGGAGCCCCTTTTTTGGGCTTCTTGTTCCTAATAGCGATGGCCTCCAACCTAACAAAGACACCTTACAAAGATGGATGATGGGATACATGTTCAAATCCACCTTTGGGGTCAAATACAAGAGCTTGCTTCCTTTCTTTGCTTCCACGTACCGAATGGACTGTGCCAAGTAGTAGGGTGGTGACTGACCGACAGACAGAGCCAATTGCAAATCTTGAGAAAGGAGAGAAAGGTGTAACTTAGCTGACACACCCAGCCACTACGACTCCATTGTGCAACTGCCCGTAACTAGTTGGGTGAAGGATGGCGAAGGGCTTTCCAGGCAAGCACATCAAACACTCGCACATGCGGTTCACTACAGGGTAAACACGCCAAGCGCGGCATCTTGCCACCCGATAAATTACATGGACCAACTCTATTTTGTCCGCATTAATCCCACCCATCATGACCTCTTAGAATGCAAATTCCAAAACGCAACAACACACACACACATCCCTCACAGGGGCCAATTAGCCTCACAGCCCAAGCTACAAGAACTGCATGGCCACATGGAATCTCACCGTGCCCAGGCAACTGCTTTCGGAGGACATGACATGTGGTAGTGACATCACGATGAGCCAGCAGAGGGTCACAGCCGCCGCCGCAGCGAAGGACCCTTCGCTCTGCAGCAGTCGACGGGTCGACGGAGTCGCGGAGGACTCGGAGACTCCGACTCCGACGACGAGCGCCGTGAGGAGCACGGGCTCCGCCACGATGGAGAGCAGGATCAAGGCATTGACACTCGTGACGCGTAAGGTCTTCAAGTAAGCGGGCGTAGGGCGAGCTGCAGCTCCATCTTTCCAAAGGCCCAGGAGGAAGAACAAGAGTAAAATGATGCCATAGCTCCAGAGTGCATGTTGAAAGCTCAAAAGCCATGGAAGTGCTGTAAGGGAGAGCCAGAAGACGATTCGTAGCCAGTGAGGCAAGCATCTTAGACCCCAGGCAGGGATGAGCACTGCGCAGATGGTGGCTCTCACAAGTGTGCCGTAGGTCTCCCAAAGCGTTAGCAACATGAAGAGCTCCCACATGGAGTTGAAGGCCTCAGCCGTGCTCTTCAAGGCAGCCTCTCGAAGATCTGCCAAGTTCTTGCAGTAGAGGAAAGCACTTTGCAAGAATTCCAAAGCTCGCACCAAGGTGATCAAAGCTGCTAAGCTGCACAGGAAGGTGCTGATGAGCATCCAAAGATCCCTCACCAAGCATCGCATCTGAAAGTTCAAGACCACTCTCAATCGTTCTCGAAACCTGGACTTGCTCGGTCTAAAGAGACCGTTACAAACTGCTGGTATTCGATAGAGTGAGAGCAACAGCATCAGTGCCAGGAAGAGGCACCCATAGTCCTTCAACATGTCCAGCACAAAGACTCGAACCAAATGCCTCCGGGAAGAGGCTAACTCGGAGGAAATCCCATCCAAGGTGGTCCAAGGTGGTCCAAAAAACAAGCACATACCACCTTTGAGCAGGCAAATCACCCCATGACTTGCATTTCCTTGCATGTCCTTGCCGATCTGTAAACACTGTAAGACAAATACCAAACACTTTACACATCTCACACATCTCGCACCTTTGTTCCTGCAAGGACTTGCTGCAAAGACCACGGCAAACACTGACACCCTTGTGCTCCTCCGTATTTAACTCATCGCAAGCCGCCTGCACCTCCCTTGCCAACTTCGATGAAATCTCCTCTGCCAGAGCTTGTGCTGCCATGATCTTCTCTAATGCAAGAGCGTGTTCATGAGGGTTGATACATTCCTGCGTCAACTGCAGGTTAGTACCAAGAATCAAGCCAGGCCAGTAACTCGCCTCTGCGTCCAGCAAGGAAGAATACCTCAGCCGTTGACAGTCCAGTCAACGAGAGCAAAGATAAGAAAAACCGTCATTCAAACACTATACATGTCCCTGAAAGGTCCTCATGGAAAAACATTTCAGATGACCATGTTCAATCCGAAAACCAGAGGCGGGGAACTCACTCACCCACTCATTCACTCACTCAGTCACTCCATTTCCATGGTGCTTTCAGGGATCGTCATGAATCCCACATGACCAGCGAACTGATGCCCGCTGATGCCAACGAACCCAACTCCACGCCCAGCTACGCTGTGGCCCGGTCCACGAAATGGGCGGTGCTCTCGTTCGCTTGAAGCTCTGCCCAACGGTGAGCTTTCAGCGAGATCACCGGGCTCTTGGCTTGTTGCTGCTTCACTACGCGCTGCAGCTGCTCTGGGGTCCTCCGAAAGGATCACCGCCCGTGTGGTGGAACTGGGAAGAGACCTGTTATATCATGTTCTATCCCTCCTACTTGACCCAGGATGGTCTGACGACATGAATTTCTTGGCGGAGATGATCGGACCGATTGTTTGAGGAGGGAACTACACCATAACTACAGCATATCATACAATTCCTCGATTTTCCAGGTGGTGTGTGATTATGTGTGACCTGGGTACTGGAGGGCCACTGGAGGGTCATGAGTTCGGTGCGGGTCCAAAACCGGGTTACCTGGGTTGACCGAGAATGGACTATTGAGGATGTGAATCTACCCTGGTTTGGGGATCTGGTTCTTGACCCACAGCCATTTTGATCAAAGGATCACCTGCGCGCTATCCGGAGGGTGCTGACGCCAACTACCTTATGCTGAGGGTCGTCTGTGAACATCCCCCAAAGGGGCTTACAAGCAGTGGCTGGGACCTGGGACCGTGCCGACCTCCCACCTCTCTGCCGGGGTCATGGCACCAGGTTTGATTCGTGCCCTGACCGTCAGGTCGTTGGCGGTCCCACCAGGTGTCAACCGACGAAGGGGGACGAGTCCCGAGTGGGCGAGTCCTGTCACGGTGGCGGTCCTGTGAGACGGATCCTTGGCGGCGGCGTTCAGCAGCGGCTCAAGGCCTTGGCGGTAGATCTTCAGCTGTTGTTCCTGACGCCGACGGATCGACGGGTCGACGGGTCGGCCAGCTGCGCGTGACGTGACGTGTTTGCGTTTGAAGTTGAGCGCGCGGAGATGGGTTGAGGAGATACCCAGGAGAAAAAGCGGAAGGAATCGTCCATGTGACCAGCTCGGTCGCTGACAACATCTTCGGATGAGAGTGACAAACAAACAAACAAGCGAACTTTCAAAGAACAAACAAATGCCAGCAGTCACAAGACGGGGTGCCTATTGGAGGAAGTCGGGGTGCCCCTGTCACGTCCACTCACTTGATGGGACGAGCCACACCACCCCGTCGACCGTGACTCCTGGTGACCTCATCGCATCAGCCTTCCGACTTTCTCACCGGCGCCCACGTTCTGCCCAGACGCTTTGAGAGCCAATAAACTGACCATCTTTTCTGCACACTTCATGATCCACACCTCCAGGTGGGGGCAGCACGCATGACCCGATTTAATGCGAATGAGACTATTTCTTGTTTCTGCTTTGTTCTTGGGGTTATCTACATGGAAATTTTGGACATGCCATGAACTGAGCGGTTACACTTGAAACCCACCAAAGGGTACAACCCCAGCCCCGTGTTTCACAAGAACTTAGGTATTTGCGCCACCGTTTTCACTGATAAGATTGTCATATATCTCAAACAACCTGACACATCTCATTTCACAGCCAGAAAAACCACTCGAACAGGGGGTCCTTCGTCGTGACTTCGGCGTTCGGGCGTTCCAACTTCCGGCCTGGCTGGGACGAGCTGCAAAGTAAGCGCATTGCAGCATGCGCCATGGGGCCAAAGCCAGGACAAGGAAGAAAAACCTCGACCGACGGTCCGGACCGCGGTCCGACCGCGGTTCACTCTCGGAAGCAGAGACCGTGCTGATCAATCCAATGCGGTAGTAACAAGTGCCATGCTAGTAGTAACAAGTGCCTTACTAGTAGTAACAAGAAGCTAGTAGAAACAATAAGCTAATAGCGTCCAATGCCTTGAGATGCTTCCGTCCCGTCCCGTCCCGTCCCAAGGCCACTGTCGTTCGGTCTCACCGTCAGTCGTCGGCCGGGCGGTGACCGGGCCGGGCGGTACAACTGCCGCTGCCCTGGAAGGTCGACAATACGGTGGCCCACGAGCGGCGCGTGTGTTTCACAGATGTGGTGTTTTCATGTCAATGACAAGTCACTCACATCGACAGAGAAACCGGACCCACGTGTTCTCCAGCCTAGCTTCAAGAATCCATATTCAAACATGGATGTTTGACGTGATGTGTCTCAGAGGACACCAGTAACAAGGGAGCTACTAGGGGCTCCTGGCCGTACTACTAGGAGCATCCTTACTACGAACGTAACAAGAGGGGCTCAACCTGAGAGGCGGTTGTCATTTTCAGACGAAAAGCAAATGAAGGACATCGAGGATCAACTGCCAAAGCTCACTGAAGGCACAAAGCCACAGCGCGTTGCGGATCCCAGAGCCACACAGCAAGGGACCACAAACCTCTTCCGCAGATGCGTGGAGCAACTCTTCTGGGACCTGAGTCAAATGAGCATTACCCATCGTGGAGAGTCTGCCCTGATTGAGCCCTCGAGACCCCCCCCCCCCGCTCCGGGATTTGGAGGGCGACCGTCGCTCGGCCCATTTTTGTCATGAGACACCGTCCGTCATGATCGTGGGGACGCATGGGTGACCAAGCTGAACAGAACGCTAAACAAGGCATGCAAGGCATGTGAACCATATACTTTGGGATTCACTTGAGCACTATCCACAAGATCCCAGAGCCACATATCCCAAGGAATTCCCCAAAGTGAGGCTTTGAGGATGATCGTCCTCAGAGGGCAATCCATGGCAACGAGATCGCGCCATCTTCGGAACCCACGAGATCGTGCCATCCCCAGACGGTCTGGTCTCAAATTTCCCACAAAAGCCACCAAACGCTGCTTCCTGCGGCTCACTGCGGCGAGTCTGCGCGTCCCCGCGTCGGAGCCTCCTTCCCCCCCCGCCTCGACGAAGGTGCCGGGACTCCTCACGGCCTCTTGGAGGAAACGTGTGGGCAAAGGCAGTCGCGCTAAGATTTCGTCGGTGCCTTTGGGCGTCCGGTGCCTTGGTCGCGTGAAGGGTTCTCACTCAGCGAACGTAGCGGAGGAGTGGTTCCAAGGGCAAGGTGGAGCTGGTGCCGAGGGAAGATGGAAGGGCCAGTGCTTTGAATGCATGAAATCTGAGTGTCAAAGATGGATCCAGGTTCGGCCCTGCTTGCAAAAACTGATGTGTTGCTCTGCATCTCCTGCTGTCTTGCGCTTTCGCGCCAAACCCGACGAGCACTATCGGTTTCCAAACAACACAGCGATCTATCTGGCGATGAGCGCTGCTCGAAGCTCATAGCTGGTGTATTGTTGGGGCTTTACGATGATCTGGTTCTGTATCTGAATTCTTGGGTTTTGCTTTCGCGCCTCCCGAGCTGCGCAAGCAAAGTCACGTCCACTTTCAAGAAATACGCACGAAACCATGGGGGGCGGAAAGGGAGGAAACAAAGTCTTTTTGTCAGATCCTTGTGTGTATTCCCTTTTTTTTTCTGTGGTGGATGTTGTTTTGTTTTAAACCAATTTGAAATGTCGAACTTTGAAACACATCCACACACTAAGAACACACAAACAATATCCAATTCTGCACAGACTATATTACCAGCTTCTTCAGTTCGTGACCTTTTGAAGGTTCCTAAGTGACCCTTAGGAGGCTTAAGTGACCTCAAACCAGTTTATCAAAAGGTCACTTTGAAGAACCAGGTATGCGGATTGTAGAAAGGCAAAGTCCCTGCAGATTGGATTCTCTTCTCCGAACAGTTTGTTTTGGCGATGGTCTGCAACCTAACAGCAATGGCCTCCAAACATTTCAAAAAAAAGAAAACACATATTGTCCAACTCTAAACTTTGCTGCCAAGACTGTGCGGATACAGTTGCTCTTAAAGACTCTTTTGAGAGTGCATGTGCTTTTGAAGGTCTGGGTGATGAATTAATAGAAGTGTTGTTGCTTTAAAGCTCCTCGCTCGTTGCCCACAGACATTCACCTCTGGCCAAACGAACCATCAACATGCGTTCGGATTGAGAAGTGAACTGCACGAGTTCCGTTGGGTGCGTCTTGGCCTGCGCCCAGCTTTCTTTCGATCGCACCTGGGATCCCGCGGGGACCGCGGTTCTGAGGGTTTCTGATGATTTCCGGTGACGGACTTCAGAAGCCTTGGCGGGAGACTCCAATGAAGTCAGCGGAGGTTTTTTTCATGTAGATGTCCTTCCTTTTGAAGCAATGCACGCAGATAGAGGCAAGTCTACAGCAAACTTAGTGGGCATTATTTCGCAGTCCATGTCAGCCATTTCAGACTTTATTTTTCTATCCCTTCTCCAAGTGGCTCCAGTTGCACACACATGGCCATTTGCGCATTCAATTGCATCAACTTGGTCTTCAACTCACGACCACCCATCTTCAGCTCAAAGAAGACCTCCGCGTTCAGAAGATCCTGGTACTTCAAATGCTTCCCATCCTTCAAGGGGTACGGCAGCAAAGCTCGACCCAAGCTAGCCACCTCACCGCGCCGCGGGCGCTGCGCCGCATCCGAACCAAGACCCGGGACGGGCCAACTTGGGCAAGGTGATGAAGCAGAACTATGGATGCAAGCGGATGCAAGCAACCCCATTTTATTAAAGAATTAGATATCAATGGAGTGGCTAAAGCGATGCGAAATCATCACATCTATGAGGAGTCCTGACTTCTTCGCCCGAAATACCATTGCTGCGACTGAGGCTCTGAGCTCCCAAAGGCGCGGCCGATCTCATCCCAGAAGCTCTTGGAGATGACATTGATGCGAATCACACCCATCTCCTCCTGAAGAACCAGCATTTTGGTCATTTTCTTTCAAACCAAAGCAAGCTGACACGTGGCAGGGTTGGGAGTAGCAGCGTCAATCTTCTCCGGAATGCGAATGCTGCTCAATATGTTTTAGATTGTATAGGTTAAGAAGCTACTAGGGGCTCCTGGCCTTACTACTAGGAGCTGGAAGCTACTAGTATATAACAAGGGCATCGCTACTAGTAACAAGGGCATTGCTACTAGTAACAAGGGCATTACTATGCGCTACTAGTAGCTAGAAGCTGGTTGTAAAGAATTATGGTCTTCCAGAGGCATACTTTCCGCTTCCATTATTGTTCCAGGGAGTTTACAATCAGTGCATCCAGTTGAACTGGACTTTACAGGAACTGTACCTCTACTGTGCCCCGATTTTTCACTAGGCTGTTCAATCCCTCAAAGCTGCGCTGGCAACCCTTCAGAAGGGCGTTTCAAACACGTGCGCTAGGCTAGGGTGAACCTTGGAAAAACCTGATTGAAGTATTTCTACGATCTTCGACTGGAGGTCTGAACATACAATTTCGAATCACCTGGTATGATAATCAATCACCCTGGCACCAAAACCACCACTTTAATCCCTCTTCAAAGCATTCATCGCGAACTCAGAAAACTTCCTCAGACTCGTGAAGCGACTGCCCACCTGCACATCTTTCTTGTAAACAAATCATGTTGATCTATTTTTTACTAGGAGCAAGGACGCTACTAGGGGCTCCTGGCCGTACTACTAGGAGCAAAGGACACTACTAGTAACAAGAAGTAATTAAGTTTCCCCACCTGCTCCAGCTGCTGACCCTCCACCTGCACGCTGAGCCGTCCATCCGCCTGCAGGGCGGCGTCCGGCGACACCAGGCGCACGCGCCGCAGTGTCAGGCGCGGCTCCCCAGAGACTTGACCTCAACTGGTGCAGCGGGACGCCGCGGGACGCCGCGCGGTGTGCCTTCTTTTGAAAGCGACCGCAACGGGGTCTGTTTTGATGTGAGGGATTGAGTGAAGTTCCTTCTTCTCACGGCTGCTTTTTCAGTTCTGTCCCCTCTCCTTCTCCTCCTCTCCTCCTCCTCCTGCTGCTTCTTCTTCTAGTAAAACCAAGAGAACACATAAGACATCATAAGACATTGAGCATCTTTCATGACTCTTCGACATCAGCCAGAGACACGTGCGCGTTGGGAGTAGATGTCCAAAAGCACCTGGCAACTTGCTGGCCGTCAAACCCACTCCAAGGCGTTTTGCCCCCGAACCAACATATCAAGTTTTACAGTCGATTCACAGCGGTTCTCTGACGAACGATTCTTTCTCCAAGCGGGGCGGCCGGGGCTTTGTCAGACTTGGTGAAGATAGATTGGTGACCATTTAAGAGCGGCAGTTCTGCAACTCTTCGTCTTGTCAGCTGTGCTAAGACATGCTAAGACTGAGCGCCCGCCGGTTTTGAATGGAGGTCTGCAGTCTGCCTAAAAAGAGCCACTAAGGTTGCACAACCAGCATCATGCAAGCTGTTTCTTGCAACTTGTCCTATATTATATTCTATATTATACAAACACATATCCCTTCGATCGAGTACTGAGCTTGGTGTAAGCACTCGAAGAAAACTGTTGACACATGCTGACCCCAGTCTGCCCACGCCCGCCTTTGGCAACCTCACCAACGTAGCGACCAGGATGAGCAACGCGCCGAAGCCCAGCGTATCACGGAGAAGTTCCAGGAATTGACATAACACCACTCGCCTGCGAGCACCTGACGTGGTGCGGAACGTCCGACGGAGCGAGCTGACCAGTTCGGCGAGTTCCGTGGAGGAACTTCGGCACCAGGGTTCGGCACCGTCGCATGGCGACCGTGCATGCGAATTCACATGAACACTCCGACCACACGATTTATTTTCAGGTTCCCCGGTGTTTTGGGTAAAGTGACAAATAGTGGCAGTCATCATGCCGGGAAGCTCACACTCACAAAGAAAGCAAACGCAGCAAATATTTCATCTCCAAAATGACAAAAGGCTTGGAAGTGCCATGCGAAGCCTTTGGGATTTTAAGGTCTTTAGCTTCCGTGGCAACACACATCGTGGCAACACAAACCGCCATGCGCTAGTGCGCCGTCGACTGGCGTCCTACCAGTTCTGCGGTGAGTCCAACGAGCCCAGTTGACGAGCCGGTCGAAGTTTAAATCCCTCGTAAAGCTGTGAACGGACCTACCTGACCATTATGGACCTTTCACTGGACCTTTCCACTGTCATTGTGTCTTACATTGACATGTCGACACCTTGACATGTCGCCCAACCTGCGACCCAGGGACAGTTGTCTTCGGCCTTCCAGATCTCTTGAAGGACCACGTCGCTGCGCCACAGCGTGAACAGGAGAATCAACAAGAATGGCAACAAAGGCACATCCAAACAGAGCTCTCCAATCTCCTGAAGGTCTTCCCCAAGGTCGCTGAGTCGATTTCGACAAAACGATTTCGACGCAAGGAAGAAAACCATTCTTGAAACCAACGAAATCTCCTCCCAAATCTTTCCGCGCAAATCCCAGTCGTAGGTGTCGCGTGTGAGGGCTTCATCCACTTCAGCGGTCAAGAGGCGATAAAGCTTCGGAAGGCGATAAACACTGAGAAGGAGACTGCTACTGCAAATCACCTCGGCGACAGGTCGTTTCGTGCCTTCAATCCGCGGGCAGGTCGAAGCGGTCGACCCAACACCGGGGAAGCACCCAACCAGCCAGTTTCGTTGAAGAATGGGGCAATTTGGAAAGGTGACGAACAAGGTTCATCCGTTTTCCCCGCGTTTCCTTCCTCCAAGGGCACCAACAGCAGATCATGAAGGACCACCATCGCGTTCACCAGCACCGCCCAGTGGTAGGCGACCTCCGCCGGCACCTCCGCTTTAGATGATCCACTTTCGCTGCGTTGCCGCAGTTGCTCTTGCTTGTGCCGCATGTGGCGATAGCGATACCAGGTGCAAAGGACCAGGATCAAACAGGGCAACGTGACGATGTCCAGGAGAAATAGCCCGAACTGCTTCCTTGGCAGCCACGCAGCAACAATACAAAAGGCAATGACTTAATAATGACTTCCGGGCTGGCGAAGGTTCGGCAGGGAAAGCCAGAACAACATGTCCTTGCTAGAACAACATGTGTCCTCACATCTCTGAAGTCACCCGGAATTCACCAAGAAGGTTAAACACAACTTTGCAAGCTTGCTTCCATCGCCCAGGGCACAAAATCACTCTGTGAGCCTTTGATAAGGGCAACAAGTCCAAATCGCTCGGCACGTCGCCGCAAAGCTCCATCCAAACTGGCTTTGCACGATAGAAGGTCAGGGTGAGCACCAAAACCAAGGGCAACCTGGAGTTGCGCCAGAGGTCCGTTGGCACAGTGTCTCTGAAGATCACTAGCAACAAGTGCATCACTAACAAGGGCATTACTATTAGTATCAAGGACATTACTACTAGCAAAGACGCTACTAATAGCAATGCCCTATTATATAGCTACTAGTAGCGTCCCTGAAGATCTCAGATCTCCTTTCTTCCTTGATTCCTGTACCCTCCTTTCTGTTCCTCTTCAGGGGCAACCCTCCCTGATTAAGACCTCTATTCATCAAAGCCACAGCAGCAAATCCATCAACGAGGCCAAGCCAATCTTCATGGCCATCCACCGCAGCTGGGCATTCCATCGCGTGGCCTCACAAACACAAAGAATCGGAAGATCTACCGGCCACCACCCCGGCCGACCTTTTCGTGTTTGCTGTACATGAGAAAGTCAGGGCTCAGATAAGCGAGTTCCGGACATCATTCCAATCACTGACAAATTTCAAGCCTTTATCCTTCTTTGTTGTTCTTATGTGCTCCTATTTTCTACTCTTTTTTCATAGTCTCTGCATGCGTCTGTCTATGGAAACACATCCTTTCGTAATCGTTGGGAGCTAGTGCAGCTCAGTGGCTTCTTGGAAGCGCGGCGACACTCCTGAGACTTCCACCCAGGATGAACTGTTCCAGGAGGAGTGGCAGGACTTGATCAAGGTACACGTGCGCCAAGGGTTCACAAAGGCCAACATTCCCAGGATGAAGGCCAAGAGGTCAGTTAACCTGAGAGGTCGGCCACTCATCCACAAGTAGTTGACCCAGAATAGTTGATCCTAGAGGATGATGATCATCCTCACGGGCCCCGTTGGGCTGGGACGTATTTTTTGGAAGATGAACGTTTGAAAAAGAACGGACTTTATTCGGCCTTTTATTAAATGTTTCATCGATGTGTCGCGGAAACGAACCGCAAGATAGCTTATGCCCAGGTAGCGTGAGCAGTGGCAGCATGCACAGATAGCCCCGCGCTTCGCAATCGCTTTTGGGATTCTCAAAGCCTTTTTTCACGAAGAGAATGGACCATAACGAGTTGAGACGCACTGGAAGAACCAGAGATGAAAGGCCAATGGCTATGAAGGGCACATCGACCACTGCACTGAAGCTGGCACAAAATGCCCAATTGCCTTGCACCGTCGCCATGGGAGTCTGACACTGAGTGTGACCTATGCCACCCATGCTCATGCTGGCTATGTTTTGCTGTCGTTGCTAGCAGTCTTACAGCTTCTTGGTGACAGTTCCATCCATCCGTCTTGGATACCTAAGAAAGACTGGCACAAGGTGAAAGGTCCACATCCATTTCTAAGCAGAAGCGGATCGCTCTGCGTTTTTTTGGTGCGCCGTGACACGCAGCTTCGACAGCTTCCGGTGGAAGTCCTTCGCCTGCACGAGGCTTTGCCGGAGACCCTCGGTGTGGAAGGAAGCGAAGCGCCAAGGTGTGAGCAGCAGCACTAGCGAGATGGGCAAGACCATGACATCCAAATAGCCTCCAAGGTGTGTGCATTTCTTCACATGCAATGGCCTCCAACCTAATTGCAATGGCCTCCCACCTAGTAGCTCTTCCACCCTAGTAGCAATGGCCTTCACCCCAATAGCAACAGGGCAAAAAACATGACCATGGCCTCCACCCTAGTAGTAATGGCCTCCAACCAGATAAAAAGGGCAAAACATGACCATGACATCCAAAGAGCTCTCCACGGCATTTGCCAGCAAGTTGCACCGACCTGAACAGCGAAAACGAAAACAGAAAACAACACGAGTCCGGTCGTGTGGAGACAACGGAGTTACAACACTCTGCCCAACCGAGACTAGCATGGTTACCAGGAAAAAGAATGAAAACACTGATCTAAGACATGTCCAAGCTGCTTTCGCCACTCCAGTGACCATGCTGTTCCCTCTCCTTGTCATGTGTCCAGGCCTTCTTGATGGATGGTAAGTGCCATCGGAGGACCCAAATGAAGGAAGGTGCTGCGAAAGCAAAGACCAGCACATCACAGATGGAAATGAAGAACTGCTCTGCACATTTGCTTTGAAACTTTTTCAAGCTTAAAGGTTTCCTCCAGAAAGTGTGCAAGATCATGGGAAAGCGCCAGGGCACCACTAGAGCACACAGCAATAGAAGAATACATAGCACGGTCAAGGTGAAATCCAAGACAAAGCGTGCGATCCTCAACAAAGTTCCAAAGAATTCGTCCAGTTCACTCATGGCTACAGGACGCGGAGGCGCACGCGCAGGACGCCGCGACGACTTCAGCAAGGGCTCCTGGAGCATTGGACAATGGCTCGCAGATAGATATCAAGAGTCGAAACATGTTAAAAGCTGACGCGGATCATCTACCGTTTTGGGGGCAAAACGCATTTGGGTCGTTTTCTTTTGGTGCAACCTTTCGAGAAACAGAAGGCCCAACATGGCCAAGCACATACCCCAAACATGCGTTCGTTGCACCTTCCTCGGTCAACATGGACACACCAAAGACCAGTCCCCTTGGGGACCACTGAAAAGACCAGTCTCATTCGCAGGCGAACGGCGACTTGAAGGCCTAGGCCTCGACTTCAGCCCAGGTCTGAAAAGGCCGTGTCTCTGAAGCGGGGGATCTCTTTCGTACGTCACGGAAGTTTGGTGCCTTTTCCATACGCTGCAGGGAGTCTTTCGATGACGTCTCCGCCCAGACCCCACGCGTGGACCGGTGACGCGAGGCTTTCTCACGCCTGGCACTCAGCGTGTTTCTCTGGGCGCCATGTGGCCTCGAACTCATGACATCGGGGCTTTCGCGAGTTCATTTCGTTAGTTCGGGAATTTCTCGATCGACCGGCATGGTATTTTCGGGATTCTGTTCATGAAGAAATGAAGCCGATACCGTTGTTGTCGTTGTTGTTGTGGTTGTTGGTTGTTGGTTGTTGGTTGTTGGTTGTTGGTTGTTGGTTGTTGTTGTTGTTTTATCCATAACTTTATGAGATTTCATGAGTGATTGAGTTTTATACGGTCACTCTCCTGGTGATTTCATCTGATTTCTATCAGAACAAAAGACATCGTTTCAAGGAACCTGCATCTCAGCATATCTCAGCCGTACAGGTTTCAATTCCCCTGCCTGGTCATCGGCACGGATCGCTGTGCCCGGTGCCAGTGGAGTTCCCGGGGCGAGAAGGTCATGGGTGGGATTGCATGGTCACATGAGAAATTGGACTTCGAAACATCTTTTAGAATAGCTCAGACCTACTAGCGATGGCCTCCAACCTACTAGCAATGGCCTCCAACCTAAGAGCAATAGCCTCAGGCCTCCTTTTTAGAATAGCTCAGACTACAACTCCGACACTCCCAGTTTTGATCGATTGTGAAGGAACCTGCACACTTTTCCTCTTCACTCCACTCCTCTTCACGCGGGGCGGCCCCGCTCAATGCGCTGCCATAAATTCCGCGAAGGAGGCATAGCGAGGCTGCCAGCCTCTCGTCGATCGGGACTGGACACCACCGGCACCATCGCCCACCGGTCCTCGCAGCCTCCTGTCGCGCGCGGGGTCCCGTGCCGGGCCTAGCTGCTGTCGCGCTTTGCCGGCATCGAGGCGTTTCCCATTGGCACCACCCATGGGCAACTCGGCTGGTGCCTGTCATTCGCTGGGTCTGGTCCCAACCGATTCAGAAACACCCCGCTTTGGGAATGCTGCAACTTGCGTCCCGACTGCTCTTTCAAATGAGCTGAGGGCGGTGCTGGTAAAGGAGCACTTGCCATACACTCTTCTTAGGGAATCCTGGTTGAAGACTTTCCTATATTCATCAACTCTCAAAACATCGACTATGGGTGCTACAAGACTATCCACAACCAATTCGAGGCATTCGACACAACATAACGTGGTCTGTTCCGCTTCTATCCTCAAGTCATGGTCTTCAACATTCTTCAGTGGTCGTCCACACCCAGTCTTCGAACCGTGCACCAACTCATATGAAGATGCCAACATCATCACATCAATTTGTCCAGAAAAAGAACCACTCTGCACCCACAGAGCTTCAACATTATGCCAATGGCGCTTCCAACATCCAATTACTCATGTCGTGCACATCGCCTCCTGCCACCGATGGCACCGCTCGACCTTCCGCTCCACTCATGGCCGGCCGTGGACGGGTCGACCTTCAGCAGGCACCGCTCCCCACCTCAAAGCGGGGCATCGTGGCCTTCTCCCCGTAGCGCTTCGAGGCCACGGCGGCTTCGCAGATCTCCCGGCGGCTCAGCGGCTGTCCATCCGCCACCACGAAGACCTCCCCGCACGGCGGGTGACTCAGGGACCGGGTGACTCGGCGGCCCTGGGATCGGTCGTCCGCGGATTGGATCGATCCGGTCGCCGAAGCGAAAAACATCCGGGTCGTGTCACACGGTGTTTTGTCACGACCCGACACTACATTTTCATAGGGGGACCCTGGCCTTGGATGTTCTACCATATCATGAAAGAGATCGCTTGGATCACCCATGCGACGTGTCCACCATCTTCTGTTGTTCGAGTATCGCCCCACGGTGAACTGTGGCCTCCCGGATCTTCGCTTGCAAAGCCTTCACCACGGCAGAGGCAGCATCGTCCTGACTGGAGGGGGGTGAAAAGCACGACAGGACTTCCCAGCCCCAACATGTTGGTGCCAGAAGTCACAAAGGGGTGGGTTTGAGTCCCCTAACCTCCGGTAAGCACCCCTTTGTGACTGTTGGTGGACAGTTCGAACATTGAAGCTGTACCCAATCGAATTCCTCATGTTCAATCCGTGAAAGGACCAAGTGCTCCAAACATCTGCTAACTCTGTTTCTTGAAGCAAAACAAACACAACTCAAAAGAAACAACAAAATCACGTAGGGGCCCAAGGTACGTAGTGGACGAGGTTGATTAATCCCGCCGGCGCGCCTTTCCTCGATCAATGCACGGCGCGGATGTCGAGGCAGCTCGAGAATTCACCGATGTCCGGGCAGAACTGAGGTTTACATACATAACACCCCTCTTCCCTACTAGCGATGGCCTCCAACCTAATAGGTTTATAAACCTAAATCATGATGCTTAGTGTGGTGATCTATGCTTCATCAGCCTCTGGCTCGTGGCTTAATCAGAACTGAGGTCTATAAAGATCGTGATGCTTCACCCAAAAGTACACGAAGCATGCCACGGACACGAAGTATAGACACAAAGTGCCCAGTTATGACCCGATCCAAACAACTCACAGAATGGAACCCGCAGCCACCCGCCACGGAGCCGCCAAGTTGCACTACTCCCACTTTCAGCCAATAGCTGTGAGGCCCGCGGTCCAAATCATAGAGCCCAGCCAGTCTGGCGCGAAACGCCAAACGCCGCGGCTCTGTGTCTGTGTGTGTGACTAGTGGCAAGGAGATGGGAACATATTGGGAACCAATGCCAAAGCTAGCTATTATGTACAGTAGTCATTTTGGTCCTCTTTTGATCGAGATCCATTGAAGTGACACCTCAATCACTCACAAAAAAGGTCACCTGGACGTCTCCTTGACTAAGTGAAGTGGTTGATTTCTTTGGGGTGCATTCTCTGTTTGGCCCAGCGCATTTCGAGGTTCTCCCATGTTCTCCCGCCTCAACACAGCGCCTTTGCCGGCGACCGCGGCTTCCGCACTCAGCATCCGTTGGGCGCTGCTGCTGTCGCTCAGGGCGCCCGATTCGTCCACGGTCTGGCCCGAGTCCTGCAGCACAACCGGGCCTTTAGGGAAACCATGTGGAAACAAGAAGAAACATGGATCTAAAATAGACACATGAAGGCATCTTAAAACATTTTTTTTTTTTCGGCCGATGTTGCCTTGTTTCACGGTTCTTCAAAACACGCTAAGAATCCTTGGGCTCTCCATGGCAGGGGGTCGGACCCTCAATGGCAGGGGTCTGGGCCCTCAAAACCCTATCTGTTTGAGGGCCCGGATTCTTAGGGCAGAATATCTGTTTCCTCTTTTGCGGGTGTATATGATAGACTCAGTTCGCATTCCGAAGGGGAACTTTCCTCCACCTGTCAAGAGCTCCACCATGAAGGGATTCCTTGATGATCCAACCTCGATCACCTCTTCAGCTTTTCTCTATATCTGCAGACATCCACCCAACTGGTTCCCTCCAAGCTACTGAACCACGCAGAACCACACTGAACCATACTGAACCAGCCCCCACTCCGCCTGCTACTTGACCCCAAGCCGACCAAAACCTCCAGAAACCCACTCCGCTGGCCGCCGTCCTCGGCGAAGACGCTCGCGGACGATGTGAAGACCGCCATGCCGCCCTCGGCCAGCGCCGCCAGCGCCTCGGCGACGGCGGCGCCGTAGTCGGAGCTCCTAAAGGGCGCGTGAGTTCGGTCAGGTCGGTGGGTTTACAGGGTGAAAGGGTTGATGTTTGATTGTGGTTGATGAAGTTTGACAAGGATGACAGGGATTGATGGGTATAGACTGAGGAAAATATAGTGAGAGAATGAATTGCGTGTCTGGGTGGCGTGTGACATGAAGGGTGCTTCAATCTTTGCAGCTCCTTTCCGATGGCTTTTCAGCATGTGCCTTTGAGGCACTCCATTGATCATGTTTGGTTGATCGTGGCCATGACTTGAATTTTGAATAAAACACATCTAACAATGATTTCTTTTGTTTTTTGGTAGATAGACTTCAAACTTCCGCTGAACAATTCTTGTTACCTGGGGCAGTAGGTTTAGAGTGATTTATCGTGCGAGTAGCCCCAGGCAGCACTACCAGGGACAATACCCGTATGTCACTAGTCTTTTTTTTGATGACACATCCCTCCACCCTGCGTGGAAACAGCGGTACATGGCTGAGAGTAGAACAAACAGAAGGATCCATTGATTCTTGGTGAAGCTTGCTTTCATCTGATGGTCCTATTATCTGGTGCCTTCTTTGGCTTCCCATCAGCCACCCCCCCGGAAAAAAAAACAACTCAACGGAACCTGCTGGGAGGAGCACAAAAGACCACCTGGATTGCAAGAGGCAGCGTCATCGCTGCTTTCTTGATTCTTGACATGAATACGACACGGACAAGGACTCTGAATCCTTTTAAACGCTCTGTAGTTGGTCAATCACATCAACCGACAAAAAAGCAGTTCACGCCAGGAGTATTCAGCAGAACCTTCATTCGTAGCTGGGCACTCACCCATGTTTTTTCCCTCTGAAAGGGTCGTCAAGTGTTCTTTGTCCTCATAACGCCCTTCGAAACTCTAGGGACTCTATGTACCCTCAACGATAAAAAAGAAACAACAACACCACGGGTTGAACTTTGAGACCTCAAAAGCCAACTGAGCCTCTAAAGACCAACAAGAAGGCTACTAGGAACAAAGGGCATCGCTACGAACGGAGCAAGGACGCTACGAACATAGCTCCTGGCATTACTAATTAGTACCAAGAAGCTACTAGTAGCAAGATAGCCTGTTGCTACATCTCCCTTTAAAGGCCAACAATCCATCTAACACACCTCACCTCGCTTGGACAAAAGACGTCTTTTGACGGGCTATGGGAGGTAGTGTGGAGTGGGTTGTGGTCTTGTGGGCCCGAAGGAGTTGTGGAAGGTGCAGCATGACCCCTTCCTCGCCGTCCCGGCCGAGATCGCCCAGCTTCGTCAAGCGCCTGGGCGAAGCGCCTGGACTTGTCGAGGTCTGAGGCCAAAATGGGCTCCAAACCTTCCTCTCGCAGCTCACCATGATGAGCCTCTGTCAACGTCGCTGCCACCACCTGGCACGCCATCCAGGGGCCCAGGGCACGCCATCCAGGGCCCACGGCGAGGGGCACCGACCACTCGGTGGGCGAGACAGGCAACGAACTGAAGGGTGAAAGTAGCGTAACAAGAAGCTACTAGTGAAAGTGGCATGCCTCCCTTGGCGTCGACCTTGGACGTTCAGGACCTTAGAGGAACGTGAAGAGGTAATGCATCGAGTGGAGGAAGCGCTGGAAGGGACTCGGAACAAAGGAATGCCGGAACTTTACTATCCTTACTTCAAGAAAGGGTAAACCCATGCAGGTCAAGTACGACCCTGTTTTGCAGTTCTCTTCGTACTTCTACGGGGAAACTCTTGAAACACCTGTGCCTCAAGAAAGCGCTGAATCCCGAGCCTCCGGGAGCCGACCCTCCACTCATCCCTCGGACATCCACCGAACCACCGAACCAGCGGACCTTGGCCTGAGGCATTTCCTGGCGCCACAGCTTGGCCACACGGCGGCCCAGCACACCGGCGCCAACCACCAGCAAGTCCTTCCAGGACTCACTACCAGAGTCCTTACAATCCAGGATTTACCAGGATAAGCCCCAAGCACTTCTCGACCTCAACTTCATCTAATCGTCTTGGAGTGCCAGTTGATTCAAGTGCCAAACCCTTGCTTCGCTTCGGAAGGCCATCGTTTCCAGTCCTTTGGCTCTGCAGTCATCGCCGGCGCCATGCTGGGCGCCCTTGCTGTGCACCACAGCGTCACCGCCGCGAGGAGCGCGGCGGGGAGCCGCCGCCGCGACATGCCGCGCCACGGCGGCGCGGCACCGGCGCGCCACGAAGCGTTTCGTGTTCGCGTGTTTTTTTGTTGGCTTTTGCTGCGAAGAGGGTCTTTTCCGTGCTGCACGGTGAAGCCCCGTGCCCCAAAAAGGTTCGGTGCCTTGATGATGTGATTGCAGGAAACCCTTTCACTGGGTGCTTTTCGTTCAAATAAGTATATACTCAGTCTGCAGTTCCAATTGGCTGTGTCTTGAAGTCCAGAAAATGTAACAGGTTACCATGTTCTTCCGCCCAAATTGAATTTCTTTCATTGATTGACCCCTTCTCGATTTTGTCAACCTTCTGGTTGACTTTCAGCCTGATGATAGGCAATGCCGGAGGTGGGTTCCCAAGCTTCTGAATGCCAACCTGAACAAACACCTTTTGCCTTATATTTGCCTTATTCTAGGACCACCTGTGAGCTGCCATGTACAGAGTTTAAAGCTTCATTTTTTACTTGGTCATCATTTCATGTCAATAACCTCTGCTCAACATGCTCATATAATTTCTTGCGTCATCGTCGCTGTGGATTGCCTAAAGGAGCTGACCTTGCCGCAGCCCATGATGCTCTGACCGCTCTGACCTGCTCATAAACACCCTAAAAGCATCCGAATTGACAAAGTGGGAACCATGGGATACCCTTGGGTCAAAAGTGACAATCCAAATTGACCAGGACATCCTGAACTTCACCAGCTTTCACCCCCCGTACTAGCAACAAGAAGCTACTAGGTTAAAGGCCATCGCAAGTAGGTTGGAGGCCATCGCAAGTGACAATAACGCTTGTTCTATTTTCCCCCATCATCGACTTTCCCCGATGACCTCGGGCCGCGCTTCGCTGCGCGCTTCGCTGCGCGGACCCGCACCTTTTTCGCACGTCCCTCGCCCAGTGGTGGAGCGATCGCCCGCTCACCTGGCGGCACCGGACTGGGCACGGGACGACGCCTCGGCCGGACCAGGTCAGACGATGGACGAGCTCCAGGTGTTTGGGGAGGTCGGTGGGAGACCAACTTCAGCCTCCAATAGAGCCAGGTGTCGTTGAGGACTTGGATGACTTGGCTGGTGAGAAAAACGGTCTGGTTTTCGTTCGGTGACGGGGTTTCCATGGATTTCCCGTTTCACTCTGCCCTCACAGCCTTCACATATGCCTGCCTTCAAGCGACCAGGATTGCCGTCAACAGCAGCGGCCTTGCAATGAACCCAACGGTCATGATCGGCGTGCTAGCGCTGTGTTCCTTTTCGCGAAACCAATCACACGGAAAATAACTGCGTCCGCTCTGAACAAAAAAACATCAATGACGCGATCCTCCTGCCACATCATTATGCCATCTGTGAGGTCATCATGCGCATCACAAGATCTGTTTCACCATCCGGGGGACAAGCTGTGATACTTTGCGGGGAAGAATTGCCATTGAGCATGTGAGGTCAGATCTATTCTTTTTGAGGGCCAATGCCAAACAATGCCAAACGTGATCATCGCAAGACTCCACGAAGTTCGGACCGCTTCTCTTGTCAATGGCCACGGCGCGATCCAGCTCCCAAAGAGAAGACTTTGAAGGAAGAGAACATTCGTGTTCCACCCGACCCGTCTTCGATTTCACGAAAAGCCTGCACTGAGTCATTGCCCTGTCCTCCCAATGGCCTGGATTGGAAGAGAGGCGAAGAAATCCGGAACCATCGACCTCAAAGGTGCGGGGCAGGTTCGTCTTCATTCCTGCCTCGGTCACCACTCAGACGTGCAATACCTGCTTCATGCTATTTGTTTCTTGTTCAATCAAACGATAGAGACCACGTGTGTGTCCCCCTGAACGGTACACATTTCCGAAAAACCGCACCCGGTCGGGCGGCATTTCATCATTGGCTCAACAAAAAACATTGCCTGAAATGGATCGTTGAAGCCGTTCTCCGTTCTCCGTCCGGGACGCACATGCCCCGGGCCTCAGGATGGCTTCACCGGGCTTCTCTGGACCATGGATTCCATGGATCACCAGGATCTCCTCGTCTTCGGGTCCTTACAAAGCACTTCACACAGGGTGGGCTTGGTTCTTTCTGATGGGTAGACGATGCTCAAAACCATGCGAAGTGGTAGACCAACTGGACAAAGCCTAAAAGCTGAAGGGGGGGGAGATGGTTTCATCCTCATCGCTGAGGGATCCGAAGGGAGGGAGAACTTCTCTAGGCCATCGCTAGTAGGTTGGAGGCCATCACTCTTAGGTTGGAGGCCATTACAATTCCTCCAACAAAATGATGTGATGCGTCGGGCGTCGCCCAAGGCATCAACTTCCAGATGTCGCTCTCTGGCGCATGTCCCGCTGGTAGCACCGTGAGTAGCAGGCACTGAAGAGTGCTAGTTGATACACATTCTTGCTATTTTGTCAGCGAATTGAGGGTCATAGATAGAGTCATAGCCCACTAGCTGGCTAATACTTGTCAATCTAAACATGCCGAGGAAGGACATCCCACGTTTGCGTCCTTGTTTCTTCCACTGCTCGATTGTGCAAAGACATGGACCATATTTCTCTAAAGTCAAAGGACATGACTGTTTGAATTGTATTTTGCATGTTGTTTGCAAGTAAGGCATGATGGAATCGGCCCATGTGTAGATTCACTCCATTTGGGTCTATAGGATCTACCTTTTACCAGAAGTGCAATGACTCTCCTGCCTGGCCAAACTAGGGCTTTAACCCACAGAGGTTTCTTTGCAGTTCAGGAAGGCCTTTCTCAAACATGGTGGAATACAGTGCTTTTCTTATAATTTTACGTCAACCGGCTAGTGTGACGACCAAGAACTTCATTCTTGCGCCCCCAAGGGCCCCGGGCTCATGGCAAACTCCAACAGGGTGGCCGACAGCAAGACCAGGGCAGTCTGAGCTTGAAAATCAAAGACATTGCTGGACATCACCGTTGCTGCATATGGGGCATATGATGGCATATGGCTTGGTCTGGCTTGATGCTTGCACACCGATCGAAACCCCTCGGTGGGGTTCTCGGTCTCCTCTGTGTCGGAGTCCGCGCCTCAGCTGGAAGGCCGTGCAAGTCTGTCACCTGCGACGAAACGTGACGGCGGACGTGCCACGCGCCAGTCGGACACGTCTTGGAGATGTCCGCTCTGAAGGAAAAAAAAGCAGCACTGGCTGAATAGGAATCCACATGGACCAATCAAAGCACTAGAACATTGGATTGAAGAAGTACATGGTCTTAACCCCTTCCAGCAATCCAGCCAACGAAGCCAACCAAGCGCTTGAAGTTTGGAACTGGCCTGGTTCACTCCGGGCACCAGCTTCAGATCCACTCCACGCCGATAGAGCCTGTCAACGATGTTTTTGACGGAGTTGACAGGGGGCTCATGGGAGCCTCTTGAAAAACACCCATAGCAATCCTAAGGGTCAACTCAGGCTGTCTTAAATCACCCTGCAAACCAAGGACCTCATTTGACTGGATCCGGGAACATGCAAAACCAGTACTCAAGATCAAGGACCAGGTTTAACTTGGCCAGATTGGACTTGTAGGTTCAGATTCAAACCGATTGTACCGATTCAGATCCGAGTTCAACGGGAGTCTTTTCAAACAAAGCCCGGACGGGCACCGTCCATTGGACCAGCAGTTCCATGCCGACGATAAGAGTTCACCAAGCGAGTAAAGAAGGCAAGTCGGAGGTGAAGAAGGACGTCGACCTTCATCGCCAGGGCAAATCGGAGAGGCAACGCTTTGTCCACTGGAACCCACCCCCTGGTGGTGCGGATGGAGAGCTGGGCTCGAAGTGGAAAGAAGAGGTTTCGAAACATGCCACGCCACGCCAGAGCGAGCGTTTCTCCGTGCACCCAGTTGTATCTGGCCAGATTCCCGTGGCTGCCCTGGCTGGCAGTACTCCAGGAGAAACCAACTTGTTGCACAGTGGAGGACCAGATGCGGCGCTGCACCAATTCCGCCCCACAATCCTGCGCAAGGTTTCCAAGCATCAAAAGCGGAGGGTGTCGGGACCGAGCACTTCGCGGCAGCACAGCAAGCTTTGACGGAGACAGCTGGGTGTGTATAGCAGGGTTACCTCCCTATCAAAATGTCCCAGCTTGAGACCAAAAGCATCATCTAGACTACTAATAGGAACAAGAAGCTACTAGCAGCAAAGGGCATCGCTACTAGGAGCAAGAAACTACTAGTAACCAGGGCTATTAGCTATTGAGGCCATCGCTCTAGGTTGGAGGCCATCGCTACTAGGGTTAATGGCCAGAAAGCCAAATCCGTGGGAGGGTCGTCTGAGGTACGGAGGGCCTCCAGATTGAGCAATGACGGAGCGTTGTGGATGAAGAGCACGAGTGGGCGAAACACGAGATTCAAGAACCTCCCGACTTGTAAAGCTGACAGAGACAACAAAGGCTTGAACTCTAGATGATACATGACTGACAAATCCTCAAGAATTGTGTGGCAATGGGTTGAGACGTTGAGACGGTGATTGCCACCCTATTCCACGAGTATTATGCCCTTCTTCTTTTCTGTGCCTCTTGAAAAGAAGATTGAGTGATTTGGAAGGTTCTCTTTTTTTTGCTTTCGATACTTTCTTGATCTTTCTTGATTTTTCTCGTGTCCCACCTTTGCATGCCTACGACATGTCACGCCCAAGTCTCACTCCAAGATCACGGTAAAATCACCAGACCGCCGCCGCTGTCACCGCAACACAACACACACACACACACTTACTTGAGAAAAAAAGAGCTCCATGGAGCAAGATTTCAGGTTGGATCTCGATGCTCATTAGCCCTTTACGTTACTGCATTAGCCGAGTGCATTAGACCTTTATAGCGAAACACCGCATTAGACAGCTGACAGCTTCTGGGCCATACTTAGGCTCACAAGGATTCAGTGGAGTGAAGATTAAAAGATTGGTGCGTACAGGTACGTTTTCACGGCAACATGGACGGGTCTTCGTTGGCCCATGCCATCCAAGTGCCCATGGGCCCCCCTGCGATGGTCTGTACAAATCCACCAGTAAAG